TAGAATTAATTTTTTTTAATTTTTATTTCATTTCAAAATTTTAATACATAGCAATTATTTTCTTTAGGGCAACACAATATTGTAGAAAGTATCAACTCAAAGACTTGGAAATGTATTGTTATACAAAAATGATCTCAATTTAGACAGAATTTTATTTTTGTATTATAAGATTACTTTTTTTATCATGTATAGCACAACTTGATGAGTCATGTAAGGAGAAGCACAAATTTAAAGACTGCTTTCCTATGGTCTCCTGCATTGTTTCGGGCAGACAGTTTTAGGGAACTGTGGTTTGGGGAATCAGTCTGAACCAAACACCAAGCTTTTCACTTGTCACTCAACTCCACTAAGTTTCCCAACCTCACAGCATCACTCTCGCCATGTTTATTACTGGGGAAATAATGCTACCTCCTAGTGCTGATAGCAAGATTATTTACATGACGCTTTTGTTTCTGGGGTGCTCGCTAGCATGGGGAAGCACCCTCTTGACTCTGGGGTGCTCGCTAGCATGGGAAAGCACCCTCTTAACTAACCATTAGTCTAACGTAACACAGCTTAGGTCATTTAACAAACGTGCTCCTGGAAGGGTTATCACCATTTTGCAAAGAGTTGGGCATAGAGGCATAAGACTGGTGAAGTAATTTATATGTCAGCGCTCTTCACGACTGGGACACCCATTTTTTCAACCAGATTCTGTCTCTGTGCACAAAGACTTTTAAAACCCTCATGACAATAGCCTTAATTTTGCTGAGCCACAGGAAAGAAAGCTTACAAGACAACATTTCTGTGTAATTCTCGCTGTCTTGTTTACAATGCTATCTCCCTACTGGTCTTATTCTGAAATTTTACTCACATATCCAAATATTTGGACGTTGGCATAAGGGGCAGCTCAATTAAGTTCGAGGTAAAAGAGCCCAGTCCTTGTGCTGGGACGATAAGCATCCCTTCTATGACCGGGTGAGCCACCTGCTTTTTCTTGTTGCCTAATTGAGTTGAGCAATAGGAGGAAAGCTCCAGGACAAACGAGGGACAAAGGCCAGGAAGTGGTTTCCACATGAGAATATGCTCTGGCCTCACACTGCCCCATGCTAGCCTGACTTCTGGGAAGGTCACTTGAGCTCATGAATGTCTTATACTAGAAGAGCCTTCTGTTCAGGCAGTGTGTCTGGGGAATTTAAAAATGAGGAAACCGTGGGGACAAGAAAGGTATTAAAAAGAAAGGGGTGGGAAAACCAAAAGAATATGTTTGAACGATCAATGCAGAGACCTAGAACACAAGCTACCCTCAGATTACGAGTGGAGTTGGTGAAAAAACAGGACTTTTGTTCGAATAACTTTTTCCTTCTGAGATTTATTTGCTTTCATTTATCTTCAGTGTTTTGTTTGTTTGTTTCCATAGGCCTGATAGTGAGTGTTAGCTTTCTATCTTTTTGCCACTCACTGTGAGATGCTCTGGTTTATCTAAAGTAAGGCATATAGAACTATGCTAAGATCTTAATAAGTATTGCATTACCTAAGAAACTGCGCAGTCCTGAAGCTTCTTAAACACCTATTTAAAATGTTTTAGTTTTAAAAATAATAAGGTGTAGTCCAGCAGTGGTGGCACACACCTTTATTCCCAGCACTTGGGAGGCAGAGGCAGGTAGATCTCTGTGAGTTTGAGACCAGCCTGGTCTACAAGCGCTAGTTTCAGGACAGGCTCCAAAACCACAGAGAAACACTATCTTGAAAAAAAGAAAATAATAAGGTGTTTCCAGTTATTTATATTCCTCTTTAATATTGTCCTCATCATTTTAATTAAAACTGGCATAATTTTTATAATACAACAAATTTCCCCTCACTTCCTAAATTCAAATGAACTTTCTTTATAGTTTTCAAGAAACTAAGTATCAAAATGAAAGGTTTGTAAATGTATTTAGTGTGTTCGCCACTTACCCTTAATTATGAATTTTTCACAAGATTCTTTTTATAGAAAGTTAGCATATTTAGCATCTCAATTGACCTCCTTTCAAATTTTAAGGTGAAATATGCATGCAATTTCTAACAGTATGTGATTGGGGTGTTGAACTAATTTATAATGACCAGTCTCTCATATATTCTGCAGTCACAGAAACAAATGGTTTCCTTCACTGGTAGATGAAAACTAGCTGACCCCCAACTCTGAAAGGGCATGGGACCACTGCTGGTCCCTGTGTACTCTCTCTCCTAAGTGTTCCAACTTTTCTGGAATTCCAGTTGTCTCATGTGAGGAGGATGAAAAAGGATATGTCAACGGAAGCAGCTAAATTTCAAATATTTATAAGAAATTTCTAAATTAAAAATAATTATAACACCCACCTAACTGAGAAAGTTTAAGCAAGAAAGTACAACTGGCAAAGCCTAGAAATTCCATAGAGATGCAGATTGTGTCACCAGAACCAAATACTGACATGACAGAAAAGGAGAACAACACTTTAACAAAGCTTAACAAAGCTTGCAGCAGAAACTTGGATACAAGAAGATGAAAGAGAGAACAAAAGGAGAACATGGCACAATAGAAACAAGGAGGCATACTCTGCTTGTGGGCTTTCAGGGCTTTCAGCATCATGAGGCTACTTCCAAGTCTGTCTATCTGTTTTCCTTCCTTCCTTCCTTCCTTCCTTCCTTCCTTCCTTCCTTCCTTCCTTCCTTCCTTCCTTCCTTCCTTTTTTCTTTCTTTATTTCTTTTTTCTATTTCTGTATTTTCTTTTTCATATTTTTATTTAAAAATAATTGCTTTTCATTTACATACCATCCCAAGTTGCTCTCCCTCCTCTTCTTCTGCTCCCCCCTTTTCCCGTTCCCATCCCCTATCCACTCCTCAGAGGAGATAAGGCCTTGCTTAGAGTCAACAAAGTCTGGTATTCCAACATGAGTCAGGACCAAGTTCCTCTCCCCCGTCAAGGCTGAGAATGGTATCCTACTATAGGGAATGGGCTCCAAAAAGCCAGTTCATGAACCCAACATGTGTCCTGGTGTGTCTGCCACGGACTCCACAACAGATCAAGCCACATAACTTACCCACATTCAGAGGGTCTAGTTCAGTCCCGTGCAGGTTCCCCAGCTGTCAGATCCCGAGTTCCCACTAACTCAGGTCAGCTGTCTCTGTGGTTCTTCATGTCTTGCTCTAGATCCTAAGGTGCCAGACTGGAGTGTTTCTTAATCCTCAGACCTCTAAAGCCTCCTTTGTTAGATGCCCTGGATTAGACAATGGGTTCCCACATCTCTCTCACCTCGTGTAATATGAGACTAAGGGGAAGAGAATGGGCAGAGGAGAAATGCCTCACAGGCAGAGGAGATGAGACGGCTGCGGACTGGAGGAGCAAGTAGTCCTGTCTGCATACGTGTGGACTTCTTGACATTGAGACCCCCGTATTCTTTAATACTTTGTGTTCATTTTGTCAGTGTTGTCTGTTTGTTTGTTATGGCTTTGCCTGTACTCTATACTGTCACTGACGTCACTATATAGCAGTGAGTTACCTTGAACTTCTGATTCTGATCATCCACGTACGACTACCAACGTGCACCACCGTGCCCATTTTATTTCATGCTAGATGTCTAACTCAGGCCTCAATGTTTGATAAGCAAGAATACAACCTGTTGAGCATCATCCACCGGTCCCATATCCAGCATGTCTTTAGGGACGAAGTCTTCTAAGCCTCAGAGTCATCTCTAGAAAGTGAGCTACTGACAGAAGCTATTATACATTGGTTTGGCAGTGTTAGCAAATTCAACAAAAGACAGTTCCTTCAAGGCTTGTGTTTAATGTGCTGACTGTGGATAACAGACCTTCTGAGCACAGGCAGCCATGACTGCGATAAAATCAGCAACCAGATAACAAGCAGAGGCCCTGACAGGCTTTTGACAAGTTCTTTGGTTCAGTTCTTTGAAGCCTGTTATGTGAGGGTGTGGTTTAGAACTATTCCTATTCAATTAATAAAGCTTTGGAATCAGTTCGCCATCGAAATTTTCATGCTCGATATTTTAGTATCAGTCTTGTGAGGAGATGAAGGTAAGTTGTGAAGTATTCGGAGCCAGTTAACCAGCTCCAGACTGGCTGCTCTATGTTAGGGAAAATGCACACATCATGAGGTCACACTGGATTCTTCTATGGTTCCTGGAAAACTATAGTCAACTTCCTAAAGAACAAACTTGCAAAATAGATATCTGTTTCCTTCCTCTTTGTGGCAGTGTTCTGAGCACAAATGGATCACAAAATAAAATAACCCATGGAAGAATATTATCAATACTGATCCTTGGAGATTCAGAGCCTTAAATGATTAGGGAGAAAAATCATCAATACTTGGTCTTATTTCAGATATATTTTAATGATCTCATGGTTTTAGAGTATCTTTATTTTTCGTATTTATTTGCTATTTGTCGAGTATATTATTTGATACATATATGCATGCAAATTAGACTCACCAAACATTATCATCTTCAGTCTTACATGTGACAAAAGAGGATCAAAATTATTTTCAGTCTGAGCTTGGTCGTTTTAAAGGACTTTCTCCAATGCTGTCCTCACAAACAATCCTGTCCTTGAATGTACTGTTCTTCTCAAAGATACGTGCTCATATCTTTCTGAGATAACTGTCATGAGTATAATGTCCTACGTATGACAGAGGATGCTGTCAAAGGAATTGCTTCGAGGATATAAGTGGGTTTTCCCTGGAGAGGAATCTGCTAGTAGCTCCTTTGCTCTTTTAAACATTACAGAGTAATTCTTTCTTTTGTCTTTCTTTCTTTCTTTCTTTCTTTCTTTCTTTCTTTCTTTCTTCTCTTTTCTCCCTCCCTCCCTTCCTCCTTCCCTCCCTTCTTTCCCTTCCTTTCTTTCCTCTTTTCCTTTCTTCCCTCTCTCATTTCAAAGAGTAGCTCATTTTCAAGCTGGACAGGTTAACAAACTCAGGGCGCCAAGCTTTCTTTGGTTTACAAACTCCACAGCTTCACTGGAGTGTCAATCAAAATCTCACAGCCATTCTTTGATACTTGGAGGTGGGGCTACATGCAAGCAGCAGTAATTTGACCAGGCACTTAGGGCAAACAGGACTGGAGTTATTCGTGTAACACTGTAACCTGCTACTGCATTTTGACAGCTCTTCTTGTGGCCTTGGACTTTACCTTGGACTTCTAACTGGTAATTACTGATGTGTAATAAGTAAAAATTACCTACCTTAAAGATTTAATGATCAAAATTTATGCCTGCAAAACTAAAATCCTTTGCTTTGCTGGATTATGTTCTTTGTTCTTGTACAGTTTAGAGTATAATTGGGTTTTTCTCTTGTCACAGAGAGGGAATAGTGGGAAGTAGTATATATGCATTCTGGCATCCTGATTAAACTTTTAATTAAGAAAAAAGTCGATACTTGGTGAACTCTACTGTTTTAACTGTAATCTTGCCAGTGATGTCTGTCACTAAGTGAGAAAGGATGATTCAGAAATATCTAAAATTATTTAAGTCCTTTAATATATATGTATATATATACTCATTTAATTAGAGGGACATTTTAATGGGGTTTAGGGGGCAAATTTATGCACAGCTCTCTGCCATATATCTATCATCTAGCTGCCATCTATCATATATAAATCTATATTATATATAACATATTTGTCTGTCTGTCTGTCTATCACCTGTCCATTCATCTGTCCTAAGAAGACAAATGTAGATGGCCCTTTCCTCTCTAAAGAAGGAATAAATACTATAAATGAGGCTTTAGCCTGTTAAGATTTCACAGCAGAGTGGTTGTCTTTGGAATCTTTCAGAAAGAAGAACATATCCGTCCTTGCTTCTGGTGACCGACAATAATAAGCAGAGGTCACAGTGCTCTCTCTGCTGCCGACTTTCCTGGCATGGTGCACGCCAACAGGTCATCTCTGTGAACTATTTGAGAGGTGATTTAGCAACTTTTTTATCGTCTCAAGTTAAATGTTTCATCACTGCAATGTAATTCACTTAACATAAGCTGCTTAAACATTGATGGAATTGTCAATAGTCTACATGAGTATTACTAAAATATCCAACTTAAGTTAGAAATGTTTCTCAATTAGCAAATCACCACTACGATATTTTCCTGGTAATAATTTGCTGACAATAGGAAGCATGTGAAATCAAATCCAGTATTGGAATCAGGCAAAATTTCTGGCACAGTTGCTTTATTGGTCACATCCCATCATGTCGCGAACTTAATGCTTTATGTTATGACTTTCATTGTGATGCAATGCTCTATAGCAATATTTGCACAGATTTACTGTGGTTATATTAAATGGCTGGCAATGTGGCCTAGGGGATTAGAAAAGAGGGCAGCTGGGATAATTAGCCTCAGTGGGCACTGGGGGAATGCAGAGCTGAATGTGTTTGTAGACTGGAGGAGAAAAAATACTATTGCCTTTCAAAGATCAAAGCTTTGCTTGCATCTAAATCTTTGAATATTTCCAGTGAGAAGCATAGTTTGTCCCTTAGGTAACTAATAACACTGCTTTCAAACTATAGACAATCTAGAGTGCTCAATACCAGATAATTTCTGCTTTAAATGAACAAGCTTACCTAAAACTATAATTATTAAATACGAATTGAAATGTTTTAGTGTATAGTTGTGCTACAAAACATGTTTTCTATTAAAGGACAATAAATCCTTAATTTCAACCTTATGCAAATGAGTATCCCAGAAGAGCTTGATATTGTGTTCTGTATTTTTTGTTGAATTATTAGTACTTATCTGCCCAATTCATACGAGAAACTAATCATTTCTATACTTAATTATATGCACTTAGCATTGTACATATTCAAGAAATTCTCAGTGCAAATACTATTTCCTAAACTGCAAGACCAGCCAAACAGGGGACCTGTGAGGATTGCTGTTCTACTGGATAATCAAGGAATCTTTCACTGAGTTTGGTAGCACAACAGTGATATTTGTTGTGCAGAGATGATGAAAGACCAATGGAGTCCTAAGTATAAGCAGTCTGTGGAGCCTTAGGTTGCTTAGGAACTCAGTGACTATGGGCTTGCTATGGCAACCCAAGTTATCAGTGAGTGCAACCTTAGCTGGCATTCTGCTAAACCTCCATATTTTGTAGGCAAGAATACTCAGATAATCCCTTCTATAAATCTCAGGATTTTTATTATTTATGAAATTAGAATAAATGGACTAAAATTTGAAAATTACTATTTATAATAGATTACGCTTATATGAAATTGATTTTTAATCCTGTGTTGGATTTTAAATTTATAGTGTCTCCTGTTTGTTATTTTATTGTTTTTTCTCTCTCCATATATATATATATAGTTATAGATTAGATAATTAGATAGATAGATAGATAGATAGATAGATAGATGATAAGATAGATGTAGATATAAGTAGATAGGGATATATAGAGAGAACTAAGCATGGTGCATTAAAACTGAAAGAGAGTAAAATTAGTGCAGTATATTATTTAGGTGCTATATCAAATGCTTTATAAATATGACTCAATAGTTTTGTTTAAATATTCTACATATATAGTACAACTTACTTGTTTTTATTTTACACTACTAACTCATTTGCAGACCATATAGATGTATATTTACGTATAATTCCTCCTTAAGACTTTACTTTAATAGCAATGTAATATGCTATACTCAACATCAAAATCATCTGCAGAGCACATTTTGGAGGTCATTGCAAAGGCATGAAGGAGACTGCTTCTGTTCGTTGTGTAGATCCTCGAGGCAGGGTGTTTCAGGGTGTGTAGCCCCTCATGCCTGTGTCTTTCTGTGGCGAGGAGTAGCCTTACTCTTATCCACACTTGTGCCATACAGAAGCTGTGCCCTTCCTTGCACCTCTCCCTATACGAATGCTGTGCTCCCCTTATCTCTGTATTAACTCCAACCTTGTGTTTATCACTATCAATAGCACAGGCAGAGGCAAAGGCTCTCCTGAGACCACACACCACAGGCTCTATTTACCGTTCTATTCTCCTGGGCATTATCATTTGTGCATTTTTGTTTTGATATTTAAGATCTCACCTGGTTAATATTTCTCTTGAGAGAAGCAGTAGCAGTTTGACTTAGGTTTTTCAGAAAATGTCACAATTAACACATTCATTATTTTTATACCTATTTGGTATTCATGACTCCTCAAATAGCATCTGTGAATTGCTGAGGGTATTAACTCAGCTAGATGGTGCCTCTGTAGATGGTAATTAGCCACAACTCACAGGTGGAAACAAGCACAAACATAGAACTGTGGGCTGCTTTCCTGGAGTTAACTGTCCTTGAAAGCCTAACCCAGGGCTTTTTAAGATCCCAATGAACTTTCACTAAGCAGATCATACATTGCATACGTACTTCCCCTTTATGTTAAAAAATAGTTTCCTAGTTGGGCAGTAGTGGCTCACACACTTAATCGCAGTACTTGGGAAGCAGAGGCAGGTAGATCACTGAGCTTGAGACCACCCTGGTCTACAGAGTAAGTTCTAGGACAGCCACGGCTACACAGAACAATCCTATCTCAAAAAGAAAACAAATAAACCAAAACAAAAGATTCTTTTCTCATACAACTCATATGATATATCCTGATCACAGTTTTCCCTCCCTCTACTCCTCCTAGTTCCTCCCAAACTTCCCTTCCATTCCCTTGACAGTCTACATGGTTTGACATCTGTACATGGTGAACAGTTTACAATGAAGTTCCAAGAACTGATAGAGTTTACAATGAAGTTCCAAGAACCTTGGGGCAAGCCATCAAAAGTTTGAGAAGACTGTCTGTTGGTCATGTTTGTTTCTTCCTGACATCTTATAACTCATTTTTACTCATTTTGAAACCTTCTTTTCTACACCATTTTTGGTGAGTGTATTGAATATTCATGCTTTCTATAACAAATATAAAATTCAACATCTTATTTTTAAGATTCCAATGAACAGACTGTGATGATGTATTTAGTAGCTAATATCTAATTGTTTTTCAAAAAGATCGAGATTATTTCAGGGTTCTTGGCACTGTAAAAGATTCCATCCATCCTTACAAGGTCACCCATCTGTATGCCAGTCTATATGGGGACAGGAGATTGGCTAGCAGAATCAGAACACAAAGGACTTGCAATAAGCCAAAACAAAGCATACAACTTTTTAATGATATTCATTTAAGGCTCACACAGTTAATTGCTTTAACAATTTTTAGAAATTACCCTTAAATCAAGATATGATCATTAATACATAAACAGAATTTGCACACAGAATTATTTAAAATTTTTAGAAGAAACATGTTATTTATTAGAACATTGTAATTATATAACAAATATCTTATAGAACGGAATAATTCAAGTTATTCTTATAAGTATTTCCCAATTTAGAGTAATCATTTGATATATATTGAACATATTCAGTTTTTGTTTAAGCCAAACTATACCTGTCACATTGTATGTTTAATGTCTACTAAGTCAAAAACTTTACAAGTGTAAAGTTTTCAATTTCATGTAAAATAACTGGAAAAGGCAAGTATTTAGCACAATCATGCTTTTATACATGCATACCTTGACACTTAGGCTATTTGGTATCCATTCAAAAAAAATCTTTGGATAAAATTATATTCTAGTTACTGTTTTAAACTCTGGGATATATGATACAAATTAGAGGAGTAATTACCAGTAAATATGAAGGTATGTGTCGTGCGTCTTTCTACCTTGATACTCATAAATTTAACTTGGGGGTGTACAATTTCTGCGGTAGCAACACTCATGTACTCTGAAAAAAAACACAAAATTTTGAAATATAGTAATGTGAGATCTTACTGCATATTGTTGCCTATAGATTTGTATATTATAGAATTTATTATGTATACAAATATTTTTCTATTTTTCTTTTGTTTTTAAAAAGAGAACTATTATTTCAAACAGACATCTTGACGACACAAGGGGAATTAAGTGATTGTTTATAAATTAGTTGGTTTTTGTTTGTCTTAAGTATATGTGATCAGGCTAAGTTCTGTAAGTTCTGTGCAAGCATTAAGACTAAGGCTTCAGGTCCCCAGCGCCCATGCAAAATCCAGATCATTAATTCACATGTGTAATTCCAGCACTAGAAATAAGAGATAGGCAGATCCTTGCAGCTTTCTGTCCAGCCAGACTAGTGGAAACCATGAGTTCGATGATCAATAAGAGACTTTCTCCCCCAAAAATGATGTGAAGAGCAATTGGTGAGGACACACAGCATCAGCCTCTGGCTTATTACCACATAAAGGACCATCTCATGCACACATGCANTTTAAAAAAAATAATGGGTTTTTTGTTGTTGTTTTGTTTGATTTTGTTTCTTTGTGTAGCTTGAGGTATTCTGGAATTTGCTCTATAGACCATGCTAGCCTTGAAGACTGCCTGCCACTGCTTCCCAAAAGCTGTGATTAAAGGTGTGTGCCACCACTCTCCCCAAAAGTAAATTTTTGATACTGATTCTCCATGCATTGCCAAAGGTCATCTCTGCAAGATAACCAGTGGTGTATGACTATTAGAACAGAAAGTTCTCATTATGTTATCAAAGGCCTGAGGATATTAATCTGGAAGAAATGTTATTATCTTTCTTTTATCTAGAAAAAAATCTGAAAATACTGGAATCATTTTTAAAGGTCATGACTTACGGAATTGTGGTGGGTTAATCTGATCAAATGTATGGATTAAACTTCATCTTTATACATAAAAGCGAATCTTCAGAACACATGCATGCATTAGATCCTTCTAAAGTAGATTATATGCCATTATTACATTTTAATTTTATTTACATAGGATTAGATGAAATTGGAAGGTGCAATGTAGTCATGGAAAGTCATTTTATAAACAGAAAGGTTTTTCACACCAATAATTTGCACCAAAATACATCAAAATACCAGTGTTTTTCCAACCAAATGGCATACCAGGTAAAC